ACGTCGCAGGCTTTGACAGTGCATCAGCAGCACAGCGGCATGACAGTCAACAAAAAAAACCAAAGAGGCACTTCAGTCAAGTTGCATCTCTGATTTTGTTGCATAATCTGAGCACACAGGCAGTGACAAGCACTGGTCTTACCCCTCAAATTAACTGTACACGGGTGTTCACTAAAAGGTCACTCGCTTTGTTGTTGTGAAATCCCACCAAAAAAAAAATGGCCCTGACGCACAGAAAACTGCCCCTGCAGACTTGTAGATTACAGAACAACCTCCGAACACCTCCTGTTTCATGCTCACACATTCAGGTGTACACGGGTATGTTTATGTGTGTGTCTATTGTTGTCTGCTGTGCTCTTTCATTTACATACCCCCCCCCCCCAAATGTCCACGTTTCAGCATGTGAGTATGTCCATCCTTGTGAATTTGTTGGATGTAATGCTGGATGTGCGTGCCTGTGGGCCAATCAATTTGTTTATTTCCAGTTGTATTTAATGGTTGTTAAAGGCACATTACACCTGACTGGTCAGTTAATGATGATTTAATTTAAATAAAATAGTTTAAGTTTGAATAGTTTTACAGCTTTGGGTTTGGTAAGGTCTGGTTTATTGTAAGATTAGAGAATTGAGGATTATCACACTGCAATTAATTGATTAGTTGAGAAAGCTTCATTCTGATAATCAGGTATTCACCAGTTCAAGCTTCTCAATAGTGAAAATCTGCTGCGTTTCTTATGTGCTAGTAAACTGAATATCTTTGGGTTTTTGATTGTTGATCAGACAAAATTAGACATTTGAATTCATCGTGTTGGTTTTTATATGGAGTTGTTCCGCAACTTGTATCATTTATTAGCATCAAAATAAGACCCTGCTACTTACAAGGCCATTCAATATCATTTCACTTGTACACTTGTATCCCGCTTGAAAGCATAAGTACATATAATGTTGTAACTGGTGTACTTCTTTTGGTTTTATTTAGGTATTACCAGAAGATGCACGTTATTTAAGATACACTAAGGTTGATTCACAGTGTTTTGTCTCTGTCAACCAGCCCCTGTTGGTTGATGACTGTATATTGATATGGCTGAAGGGCTCATTTACATGCTTTACTGGTTTAATTGTGTTAATTTGTACTGCACAGTCCATACAGATTGGATTTGGTGAAGCAAACTACCCATTAGTGCATTAACCCTTTTTAGGAGTAAAAACAATGCATTAACTCACATTAACTTTATCTGGCTTCCCCGGTGAGTCACTCTGGCCCATTTGCCTTCCTCTGTTTCTTGCCCTGGGCCATGAACTACGAATAAATCAAACACGGCGTGGACATGTTTCTTCACAGAGGCAAATATGTCTGTTAACCTTTGACTATGCGTGGGACTCTGGAGCTCATTAAAAACCGAACGGGTGGTGCCCGGGCATGGAGGCTTAGATGAGAACGCTTCAGAGCGTGTTAGCCCAGATTACAGGGTGATGTGAGATGGCTGGGAGGTGAGGTAGAAGAAACAGCTGGGTCCGTCCGCCACGCTCTTCCTGGAACATAGGGGCCACAACGTAGGGACGTCAGAGCCTTTCATGTTCAGGTTGAAGGTTCCTGTCAGGGCAGCGCAGGCCCAAACATGTCTGGCTCCCTCCGAGCCACCTCCACAATCCACCGCCTCAGTTTGTATGCAGCTATTGTGGCATTAAAGTCAAATACCTTTAAAATTCAGTTGTGTCATTCCTACGGTTTTGGACAGTCCACGAACAACTTTCTCCTAAAGCTACAAACGAGCGGAGACATAAACCTGCAATTCAGTCCCGATGCACAGACTGGAGTTTTGTTTCATCCTAAAGGTGGTTATTATTCTACAGCTTTAATGCATCGTAATTGTACTCTTGTTGTGCTTGAATGCATGTAAATCATCATGGTTGAGCACATAAAGTGCAAACACAACTGGCCCACCAGGAAGGCTAAACTCAACAGATCTAAGAGACTTACAAACATTCTTTTAGATCAGGTGAGGTATAATTTGTGCACAGTGTTAGAAAGCGGTGTGTGTGTGTGTGTGTGTGTGTTTGCCTTCCACGTACACAGACTGCACTTGTAAAGAACAACCAGGATGATAATTAGCCTGGCTTTTATATCTAAATGTCACATGTTGGCTATATTAAGACCACAATGCTTGACTTGACTTGCTTTCATTTGACTGCTACTGTACTTTCTGTTCCAGTTCTCCTTCATTTTTTATACATTAAGCATCGATTTAACTGCCTGCAAAATACACTGAACACCACATTTGAACACATATACGTTTTCCCTCTTGTTCTTTTTCTTTTTTTTTTTTTTTTTTAAATATATCTCTCTTCAATGTCTTTTTCCAGCTTCCTTCTACGGCGATGGCTTTGTACAGCTTAAGGCAACGGAGTCGTCCAACCATAACACACTCCGCGTTCGCTTCCGAACCTCCAGCACCAATGGCCTGCTGTTTCTCGCCGCTGGCCAGACCGACTTCTTCCTACTAGAGCTCCGCGCTGGTCGCCTGCAGGTGGGTACATTCGTGGCCGCAGCACATGAGCATATGTGTTCAAGCATTCATGAGCACACACATGCACATATGTACAGGCGTACAATACACACATATCGTTGTGCTTGACCACATGCACACCCCTATGAAAAGACATGACACACACACACAGACATACTGACCACCTTAAGCTATTGCTCCATCTCAGTTGACAGTGTCAGTCTCTCAACACAGTAACACAAGAAGACATGGTGTGAGCTGAGTGTTAACGCCATACCAGTCACTTGTCACAGTGGAAACTGTGGAGATTATGAAAGCAGCAGATCTGTGTTTTTATTATATTTATATTATATATATTATATATATTATAATTTTCTTGAAAAAAATATCAAGCTGCAAAACAAATAAGTGTTCTGCTTGTATGCACTTGCATCAGTCTATAATGTTATTATTAATTAATTAGCCCATCAAGAGTCAAAAGATTTTCTGTCAAGGCACTGAATTCCATAGTAGAATAACCTCAAATTACTTGGTCTGAAGAAATATGAAGGCCAGCATTAATGTGAAAATTCAAACTGACAAACTGTGTTTTAGTAGTACAAAGACAAACATTGCCACAATATTTATCTGCCTCTAAATGTAATAAAAATAAAACTCTGGAGATTTACTTCTCACAAAATATGTATACCTTGGGCACACTGAAGAGATTTAAGGGCTGTCCACACCAAGAACAAGCAATTTGATGAATGATATTGTGGTGTACAACTTATTAAATGCTTATATAACATAATATTAGGATATGAATTGCACATAGAACATTTCATTTTACCTGAGCGCGCTGCCAAACAGTCACTGATGACGGGTTTTCTGAAGTTTGTTTGGTCCTTACTGATGTATATTTTGTTTAATCAAAGTAGGAATAATATTTGCCTTCCAAAGAGGACAACTGTCATAACAGAGTGTTGGATTCTCATAACTCTACATATCTAACTCCATATCCTTATTTTCATTTCTCTGTGCAGGTTACAGTAACAGGTCATCAATTTTCCTAAGCTGCCAACACAGCTGGAGCGTGCAGCGCTTTGGGGCCACTGTTTATGTGGCTTTTTATGTTGTTCATCAGTGTGGATGCTCACATCATTGCTGTTGTAGTTATTGTTCTTGGTGTGGACGCCCCATTAGGATGGGTTTGTGTCCCAAGCCGGGGGCACTATTTTTAACCCACAACACAAGCCTTGATGGGAGGATTTAAGGATGAAATACATTTGTCCCTTCAAGACTGCTTCTAAAGCATCCTATAAGGAGCTCTGCCATGCTAAATCAGCATAAAGAATGGACAGATGTACTGTAGGAAGTATTTTTAATATGCAGACACATTCATAAGAAACACAGGAAGCCCTGAGATATGCATTATAGCTTAAACTCGAACAAATCCTTGTGACTAAGCTTCTATTTGTGCTAGACTTGTGCTACTGGGAATGAGTCACACTGACGACTGTGTTGCATTGTCATACTTCAGTGAGCACAAGGAGTGAATCGCTCATCCTTGTTCCTTAAACTGGCACAGGTCACCAAATAATCTTTTTCTACACTCGACCAAGTATTCCTCAGGCTTGGGGTCTCATTCCATGTGAGTCAGTCATCAACGTTGCTCCCTGGAAGCCTGTGCATGAGTAGCAGGAACTCAGCAGCAAGCCTTGACAAGCACGTCATCTAAATGCAGCATTAGTTTGAGATGGTGACATGATGCTCTGAGGACGTAGCTGAAGGCAAAGAGATAATAGTTCTCTTCCTGCTTTAAATCACAGACAGAGCTCACTGTTATAACAACATGTGGCATAATTGAATGTAAGCAGTCTAAGTCGTGTGTTTCCCTCTCCCAGGTTTCACAGTGTCTACAGTTAATTAGTTCTTATAAGTCATAATGTCTTAGGTTATAGAAAAAATCAACAAACATTTCCTCTGATAAATGAACAATTTTATATATTATTTTTGCATTTGTAAATTCTATATAAATATTTTTTAGTTGTTAAAAATATATTGTCACCACAATCATACAGTACATACATGTTTAAACAATAGTCTATGGTAGAGTCGCTGTGAGGTTGTACTGGGAAGTTTTCCCCATTTTAGTTTAATGTAACCAGACTTCATTGACAAAACCAGTAATTTAACCTTGCAGATAATCGTGAAACACAATTTACTTGCCAAAACTGTCTTTATTAGTCTTTCCAACAATCACCAATGCTGCTTTGTTAACGTAAACCCTTAACCCCACAGAGTTAGTTGTGAAAATATTGGAAACTGGCTCTAATCGAATAGGTGAGGTATTTCGGCACACTGTTACCATGGCTAACAATAAAAGCAATCATATTTAATGTGGGACATCACAAAAAAGATCTATTCTAAACTGATAATCCTATATTTAAATTGAATTGCTGCTTAGATTAGATTCTTGTTGTATAGCGTATTTTGTAATGCAGTTGTTTTGTTTCTTTTCTTAGCTAAAACTGGACTTTGGATCGGGAGAGCAAGTGTTACAATCAGAGCAAGGCACCCAGCTCAACGACCTGGCCTGGCACTCTGTGGAGGTCCACCATGTGCAGCACAACATCACTCTGACTGTAGACAAGAACTCTCACACGAGTGTAAAGATGTCAGGCTCTCGTCACGATCTCCATATTTTGGATGGTCTCTATGTTGGAGGCTCAGGAGGCCTGGACAGACTTTACCTCCCCAGAGACCCGATCAGCTTCCGAGGCTGCATGGATGAGGTGGTCTTCAATGAACATGACTTGCTGTCATCACTGAGGCCGTATACCGGATTCAAGAATGTCCATGAGGTGTCGTTAGGCTGTAGTCCCCAATTCTTTGCCACAGAGGAGGACCCCATCAGCTTCTTCAGCTCTAGGGCTTACGTTTCTCTTCCAACCTGGAATGCCCAGCAGGAAGTAGTATTTGAGTGTGTTGTGCACACTTCAGCCAAAGAGGGAATTATCCTGTACAATTCGGCCAGAGATGGGGGCTTTATGGCTGTGGAGATTCAGGAAGGTTTGCCAGTGGCCATTATTGGGAAAGGTGGAACAAAAACCGAGCTCCGTTCCCTCACATTCATCAATGACAGGAAATGGCATTCTGTCAAGTTGCATTTTAGTTCCAAAAGCCTTGAGCTAAGTGTTGATGGAGAGATGGTGAAAAGCAGCATTGGCTCTCGTTCAAAGGGGCTTCAGTTTAAAGGTTATCTTTTTGTTGGAGGTATTGATGACAGCACCAGAGCAGAAGTCAGAAAGGTGGGGCTTGTCTCTGTGTCTGGAAAGCGTGTCAGAGGAGGTTCCTTTAAAGGATGTTTGAAGAACATTGAAGTCAACGGCGTGAAGACGGGTCTCTCCAATGCTGTAGTTACCAAGGATATCTCAGTTGGTTGTGAGCCAGAGAAAGAACCAGAACCATCAACGACTGTGAGTCCAACAAGTGCTCCGGCATCCATCTTTCACTTGGTGACACCAACACCATCACTTCACATGTCCACCGTCGCAAGGGGCTTAGACAACAGGTATGGCTCGAATTTTATGCAACTCAAAAACCTTGTGGTCCCGGAAGGCAGTCGAGCATCTCTTGAGGCCAAACACATCAAGGTAATTTTGGACTTCAAGAAGCTTGGCATTCGACAATCTCAGATCATGTTCCGAATTCAGGAACAACCAATTCATGGCCAGATAAGGCTTGATGTTGATCAGGATCAAGAGGAGAACACTTTCAGCATGTTGGACCTTTGGCATGGACGAGTGATGTATATCCATGGAGGCTCAGAGGAACCAGATGACTTCTTCATGTTTTCAGTTTATTCTAGCAGTAGAAAGCCAGTTCCTGATTACCTGAGAGGCAACAAATTGTACCGCTACAATATTACTGTGACACCCACCAATGACGCACCTGAATTGAGTCTCCCTGAAGGAAATCTCTTTGTCCTTTTGGAGAACTCAAAGAAACGTCTCACCACGGATGTTCTGAAGGCCACAGACATTGACAGTAGCTACACTGATCTTGTCTTCTCTGTGCTTGGGAACTTGAATGCCGATGCAGGATATTTGGAAATAGAAAACAACCCTGGCAAGACAGTAACTTCATTTTCATACTTAGACTTGGAGGAAATGAGGGTGTACTATGTTCACACAGGAGTTCGAAACTCAAGGATAGTCCTTAGAGTTAGCGATGGCGAAAAGGTCAGCAACACTGTGGTTCTAAGGGTCATGGCTGTAGCATTGGAGTACAAGATTGCCAACAACACAGGCCTTGAGATCATTCAAGGAGAGTCAGCTATAATTGGTTCAAAACAGCTGGCTGTGCAAACCAATGCTGTGAAGCAAGTTGTAGAAATCCGGTATGATATCATTGAGCCCCCTCAGTATGGAGAACTCCAAAGACTCCACTCAAGTGGTGAATGGAGGCCCACTGACTCGTTTTCCCAAAGGCTTCTGGAAAAAGAGCGCCTGAGATATGTTAGCACTTTTCAAGAAATCCAGACATCCAATGCAACTGATTACTTTAAGAGCAAAGTTAATGTGGCTGCAAGGGCAACCACTGAAATATTTTTTTCAATCACTGTGAAGTGGGTGAAGTACCACCTGGTCAGGAATGTCATGATGGACATGGATAAAGTTAGAAAAGGGACACTGGACTCAACGTATCTTTTTGCCACAGCTGAAGGTGTGGCCCTCTCAGAGGAGGACCTTTATTTTCGTGTTCTCACTATACCAAAGAAAGGGAAACTCCTGCTTGACACTACAGTCTTAAGGAAGAACTCAACCTTCAGCCAAAGAGATGTTACAGATCAAAAGGTACATTACGAGCTAGTCGACAGGCCTTATGAGGATACAAGTGACAGGTTCAAATTCCACCTGGTTTCCAAACATGCTCAGTCACAAAATTATGATTTCCAGTTTTCTATTAAAGCTGATGTCAACAGTGTGTTTATGAGAAACAATGGACTCTCACTTCTGGAGGGAGAAAGTAAACTTATCACAAAAGATGAGTTGTTTGCAGAGACGTTGAGTACAAAGGATATGTACTACACAGTCATAAGCAGCCCCAAAAATGGAAAGCTAGCCCGGATTAGTCAGTCAAATTCCAATGCTAGCTACAATAACATCTTAACCTTTAGTAATAAGGATATATTAGAGGAACGAATAATGTACATCCATGATGACAGTGAAACTACTCAAGACGAGTTCACTTTCATAGCCTCCACCAGCCAAGGGTTCAAGTCTTCCATTGCAGAAGATGACATTGGCTCCAAAGAAGGAATGTTCAACATATCTATTCAGTTATTGAATGACCAAAAGCCAGTACGTGTTATTGATAAAGTTTTCCATGTAGTAAGGGATGGACAGAAGTTACTCACTATAGACGATTTGCGTTATCATGATGCAGACTCTGATTTTGATGATGGCCAGTTGATTTACACTAGACGTGGAATCCCGATGGGAGACCTAGTGCTGGTTAATGACACTACACATCGGCTGTTCCAGTTTCGACAGAAGGATTTGGAGGAAAAGCGAGTGTTGTTCATTCACAAAGGTGTGAGCACTGGCCGGTTTGTGCTCTTTGTCTCAGACGGAAAACATTTTATTTCAAGCCTTTTAGACATCAGTGCCCATGACCCTTTTTTCAAGGTTGGCAACAACACTGGCCTACTGGTTCAGAAAGGCCAGTCAGTAACCTTTTCTACTAGTAATTTTAGTGTCATATCAAATTTGGACATCAGAGATGACCAGGAGGTTATCTTGAAGCTGGATGATGCTCCAAAGTATGGAGGACTTTATCGCAATGAAATAAAGGTGGAGTCATTCTCACTGTCTGACTTAAAGGATGGGCGGATCTCCTATCATCATAATGACAGCAAACATCTGGCAGACCATTTCAACTTAACAGTGAAAGCTAAAGGTCTTCGACTTGCAGTGAGGATCAATGTGAAGGTATACCTGGAGAGTCATCAAAGGCCACCCATCGTGCAGCACCACAACACCTTACTGGTGGAAGAGGGAAAACCAGTAAAGATTGATGAAACTAAACTAGAGGTGAGATTTCCAGAAGAGAGACCGTTTGAGTGTTTCATCAATGTTCATGCAACTTTTATTTTGGTTCAAATAATATGATGGCCATTTTAAAAGCTTATACCATCCTTTTATCATAATTTTAAACAATAATTAATTTTAATGTTTCAGTGCAGATAATCTAAACTATAATAAAAGGACAATATCACACTAATGATACAGTAAAAGATCAGTTATCCTGCTGTGGTTTTTAAGGCTGCTGAAGGGGTAGATTCTGAATGCTGACCAGTGTTTGCTTTTACATTTTACAATGATGCCATGTTAGATTGAGCGCAAAATGACAAGTAAAACTTAGTGACACATGGAACATTTCAAATTTAACCACTGAATATGTTTTCTGATTGTTGCAGGTCACTCACGAGGACAACCTGCCATCTGAAATCGTATTCACAGTCAAGGTAGCCCCGTCTCATGGCTTTCTCCGGCAATTTGTCGAGGAGCGCTACATCGGAACCAAACAGTCCCCTGTCAAGACGTTTACCCAAGAGGACATTAACAGTGGGAACATCCAGTACATGCAGGTGGAGCCCAGCAAAGTCAGCGACACTTTCATCCTCGATGCCACCAACGGGGTCACTGATGTCAATGACATTAGGATGTCTGTTGACATCATCCCACGCCTCATCCCACTTCAGGTCTCAAATATCACGCTGAACGAGGGCGCCTCCAAAGCACTGACCCAGGATGTTCTCAAAGTCACGAACCGACACTTTTCTGGAATCAACTTCCTGTATAGTTTGACTGAGCCCCCGCAGCATGGTCACATTGAGCACTCTCGACACCCCGGTGTGCCCATAACCTCTTTCACCAGGAGGCAGGTGAGATATTCTTACAGACACACTTCTAGTTGCTACAGACAAAAAGCAATAGACTGGCAGGTGGACTGATGGATACAGAATTTGATTCAGTCTGGCAGTGATGTTTTTCATGCCCATAACTAACACTGAAGTGACGCAGAGGTCATGTCTGTCATGACTGGGAGAACATGTTTTCTCAAATTTCATTTCATTTTGTTATGTTTTTAACCTAAAATGCCTTCTTAATTCAATTACTGTAAAGTAGTGTATAAAATAAATTGCTGAGACTGGTCAATGGATGAATGATTTGACTGATTATTGTTAAGGTAATTATTATCATGCCAGTGAATAACACTGAAGTCACAGTGTTAGTGTTTCGAATTTGACCCTTATCTACAGGCATGGTTACAACATTTGTGACCTAAAATTCATCCTTAATTAAATTAAAATTAAAAATTAAAGAAAGCAAAAATAGCATTACTCCCTTTTCATCTTATCCTAACGCAGCTGGAAACTCTCGACCTGGCTATTTGTATGTGTCGTGTTTGTGCTCCTAATTCATTTCTAAAATTTCACAAAGCAATAATGCGTTTAATTTGTGTCCCTATGTGCATGCTGTGTCATGAAATAAGAGATGATAGCGACTTAAGAGTCACAAATCATTGACTGTTTTGTACCTTTCTGTTGCGCTTTTAAGCTCAAGGTCTCCCTAATAATTTCCATGTTCTTTAATCAGGTGGAACACGAATTCATTTACTATGTGCATGACAGCAGCGAAACCTCAGCTGACAACTTCACTGTGGTGGCCAATGACACAGGCCTGAGGAAGCAGAGTGCAGTCCAGACGGTGTACATCCAGGTTACAGCTGTCAACGATGAGCCTCCTGTTATTACAGCCAACAGGGTCCTCAGGGTGAGTCTGCACTGCTGCTCTATATTTAAACTCTGGACATTTTTTTACTAGCAGGTCTGGCACTGTCAGACAATTTTCATGTGGGCAGTGTTGCAAGTTGCCATGGCTGGCTGGACGAGGGAAAGTATGTTTGCTATGTGGAGGAGGGTCTAGGGGGGCTGGCAGCACAGAACAGACATTGACATACATTTGGAGGTGCCTGGGACATGTAGGAACGGCTGTTATGGTGCTAAGCTGTTAAGTTTTTAAGCAAATTCGTCTAGTATTGAAATTTACTAATACTAATATTTTTAGAGGGTTAGTCGCAAGTAGTGCTGCTTCAGAGATTTGAAGAAGGAGCTGCTATTTTGCTTAGTTTGGGTTGACTGGAAATTATTTCTAAGGCTTCTTATGAATACAAACAAGTTTAAATGAAATGGAAAATAAACCCCAGGCATTACACTGGCATTAGGTCTTGCTGCTGAAAATATGTCACTTGAATTTAGTCCCATTTCACAGCATCCTAGTGTTGAGTGACAGGATGGCATGGCCTGGAAATAGCAAACACTGTGACCACACGGCCTCAGTTCAGTCCAGTTTCATCTACTTAACATTTCTCTTCAGTATCTGCCTATTTCAAAGAAACCCTACTGGTTATTTGCGTCCTGTCTGCGGAAAGCACTTCTCCTTACATACATTTTAAATATGTTACTCATAAATCAGCCTGAAGATGTCATGTGTGTCTGTGTGCTGAGCAGTGCAGACTTTTGCTCTGTCAGCTTTAGGGGCTAGAGTTGGGAGAGGTCCAGCTGGAAACAGAGGCTGAAGTATAGGTCTCTATTGTCTGTGCAGCTTTGCCCCAAATGCCTCAAATTCCTCTGCGATCCTGGAGACTCAGAGAAGAGCGACTTCTAAAATGTACTGCACTGAAAGACACAGTGAAACCAGTTGAATTAATGCAGTTTTAATCAGAAACTCTGAGAATATTTTCTTAAGGGAGCTTATTTTTCTTTTGCTGATAGACACTGACACACTGGTCTGCTCATATTGATGATCTGTTCAAATGTGATCATTAGTCATTATATCATGTTTCACTAGATTTTAGGTCAAAGGGAACTAAATTCTCAGTGTCCACAAGGTGGCTCTATGCCACTGCACTTCAATGAGTCTCAAGCTTGTACTGTGGAAGATTTTGAGAAATTTAAATGCCTTCTTACAACCCCAGTTATATATTGCCTCATATAATTTATTGGAAATTTCGTTTTGAAACAGCCTTGTTGTTTTCTGAAACCATCTTTAAAAAGGACTTAATATATGTGTATTCATGAATTGTGCTTTACATGTTATATTACCTTGGCAAATGTTGAAACCGTTGGACACTAAATATCAGTGCAGGAGGAAAATAAAACAGACTGTCAAATGTATAAGTCTGCCTCCAAAATACTAATTATTAAACTTTTCCAAAATGTTGTAGTTTTGGCAGTATGAATTAGCAGACATTTGACTCGTGTTTGTTTTCCAGTAACATTTAGAAATAATGCCATTACAATGACACATGTCAACAGTCTCTGGTGGGTTTCTGATATCTAATTAAAACATTGTCTAAGTGTCAGTGTTTTTAAGAGTTCACACAAAGAGCTGTGTGCAGCTCCTCTTGAAGTATTTATTTGACACGATTTTCTGTCAACAGGAAATAAGCTTAACACTAAGCAACATGTGATTAAATAAGGTGATTAAAAACATACTTTAGAGGAAAACATTTATTTGTGCAGGTGAGATGCATGTGAAAACCCAATAAATAAACATCAAAACATTATAAAACAAGATCTGGCAGTCAAGACTCACAGGAATTCAATAAAAGAGGATCAAAGCTGTAAGTGTGGTGAGGTTTAAACTAGACTGTTGTCTCCATCACTAAAGCTGCAGCATGGTGAGCGGTGGACACCCCGTCATGTTTGAGGGATTGATCTCTCCAAGGCTGTTGCAAATAGCTCTCATGTGTCTTTTCTTTGAATCTGGTGAGTCACACTGATAGTGTTCATTAAACTCATCAAACAGATCCTGCTGTGACTTCCTGTTAAGTGGGTGATTAGTGGAGTTGTAGTAATTTCCCATCAAATGACACACTCACATGTGTGACAAGATGTTTTGCTTTGGGACCTGCATGATGTGCGTGGTTTCCAATGTTGCGAGTGGCGTTTACATGTGCTAATTAAAAAAGTACCCCATGCTTCTGTTCCAGTAAGTAACACTTACATCAAAGTGAGATACCTGCTCACTGCAGCCATTAATCTGAGGAATTTGAGGGCCATTTAGACTCCAGTGTCCCCCAATATTTAGTAGTTTTAAAAGGTCAAATACAGGCTCAAATTCTCTCAGTCTGTATGTATCATATGTGGTTTGTGTTAAGCTATACGCCCCTGCAGCTGTTTTATGACAAGCATTTTTAACAGTTTTTCTTGTTGGTTGTTGCACCCACTTCCTCACCCTGCACCCAACCTCACTGACGTTTCTCACATAAACCACACAGTAACATTTAACAGAGCAGCAGTGGGAACATTTCCTTAAAAATGCTAGTTAGCTAGTGTGTGAACAATGAGATGTTACTGCAATCACACCCTTAATATCAAATGCTACATATATCTTGTGGCTGCATTGCACTTCAGTATGGCCTTCTTTTCTACTAGGAAACGTGTACTCATTTGTTAACTCTAAAAACTCACAGTTCGCCAACATAGTCAGACAGACAAAGTTAATGACATGCTGGTGAACACATTAAAGGTCAACAAATATTGAATTTTTAAATGGTGATATAATAACGATGATAACAAAGTCCGGCCAAACTGATTAATCGGTTGACCTCTAGAACACGGTGGAGCATTTAGCAGCTGAAGAGCCAGATGTTTCTCTCTGGAGTTGGTAGAGACCAACACAGAGCTAAAAGAAGAGTGAATGTTGGACCCACATTCACCTGGAGGCCAGGAACAATTTTCATACATGCACAAAATATTTTTACACCTGCAAAACTTGATTACGTTTATATATATATATATATGTATACGTGCATGCAATTGTTTATCACATGCGCACAAAATGTGATATAGAACTACAGGCTGTCAAACTGTTTGTGGACATCATTTCACAAGCCCAAAATATGAATGACCCTTATGAATGACTGGTGTAGACTCACTGTCACATGACTTGCCATCATGACTTGCTGGACATTTTAATAGAACATAGCAACCTGAGCTTTTCCTGTGTACAAGGTGATTTGTGTCACAGCCTTTCATTTATCACTGTGGAAGCGTGTTGTGCAATAGTTGTTCTGGCCGGGACTATAGAAGCTCATCCTTTGTTGTCAAATGTATGCACGGTTCAGTAGCTTTGTGTTCTGTGTGTCAATGAGTTCCTCTGTTCCTTCGTGTTAGCGCGAGGCTGTTGAATTTACGTGGAAGCAGGACCTCAACTGCGCCTCACCAACACTGCAGTACATTCAACTGTGCTTACAGCCTGCATGGTTATATTTAGTCCTGAGATGTCCTCTGTTTGAATTATATTGTTGAATGTGATGCTCAGCGTGACATTTTTCCATAGGTCGTTATTGGCTTGCAGTCATTAGGTGCCTCAGATAGAGGTTCTTTTTATGTCAGTTCTGCTTCGTCAGATGATAAACTGTATAGTGAAAAATGAAGGGAAGGAAAAAAGAGAAAAAAACATGTGAGATGGCCTCGGAGCTGGACTCACACCCACAGCATCCTGGGTGCATTGATTGTATGTGGTGATGAATGGCAAGGACACATTTCCATTGGTCTTTTATGTGTCTTTACTCTACTTTTCAGTTGCATTATATCTGTGCAGAGAGGTGTTACATAGCTGGCTTTTAGTTCATGAAAAACAGTACAGTACATAATCCAGACAATTTTGTTCAACACAGTCAAAGACTGGCATCTGCAAATGTAATAATCTTGAATGTAGCAAGTCTTTTGCTCCATTATATGACAAAATATTTCATTCCATTAATGTCAAACTCGCATTTGGCTGTCAAACACTGTATAGCCTCTACATCATGAGCCATGTCAAACACAATGTCTCATGTTCCGATGCTCCTGGAGGGCTGTGTTTTCACGCAGATTACAGATGGCACCTGCTGTGTCCATTCTCTGTCCAGGTTTGGGTGTCCTCAGTGACAGAGATCAGGCCGGAGGATCTGAGAGCGCAGGACTTGGACTCACCTCCAGAGGAGCTACACTTCATGGTGACCCCACCCAGCAATGGACACCTGGCCCTGAAGAGTGCCCCCATGAAGGAAGTGCTCAACTTTACCCAGGCGCACATAGACCAGGGACAGTTACTCTTTGTTCACAAAGGTAACATTTTTCTGTCACCTACTGTAGTGTAGTAACACAGGAGAAGCCAAAAAAGACTGTTTTAATACCAAAAGCCAACATTTTGTGTTTGATTTACTTAATTTGGTGGTACAGGAGCGGTCAAGATGCCATAGACTTATACGGTGGACCTCCTCCCAATCCCACACATAAAATGATAAGAGTTGTCCGTGAAAATAACAACAACACCAAAACTGAAACTTGACTACAATCATATATTTATGTATATATATCTATATCTATAACAGTCCTATTTATGTGGTGAGGGGTATTGAAGAAGAAAAGACTATTTCAGTAAAAATAAATTCATATAATAATATGAATGATTCCAAGCAAATTGTTATTAGAAACTAACAAAAAGAGATATATAGTACTATAATGTATATTGATATTGCAAAAAGGATTCTTTTTAATATTGTATCATTGATTTAGATCATTATTACCTTAAGTCCTAAATATAACCTGCAAATAATAGCTCCAAATGAAATTTTGTTTTTCTATACATGAAAACTTGTTATTGTTGTTCCTTGTGCATCCACTAGAAGGTGCTGTTGACGACTACTATTGGTTTGATTTGCTTTCTACTCCTGTCAGCTCACAGTGAATCACAGACTAACTATAAACTAGTAACATTCTTCATTAGTATGTAGTAGTTAGTATTTGCAACACTGACACAGACAGACTGGACTGAAAGCCAAGTTGGAGGTGTAATACTTTATAGTCTGGAAACTCTGCTGTAGAAAGGTGGATAACGTCTGTCAACATTTGTATCAGATCAGGTTTCTGCTTACTGTTGGTATTCCTATCTACAGTTTGCTTTACCTGTACTTTTACCACATGGAAAGGTTGTAATAATACTGTACAAGGGCCCCCCCCACCCTATATGTTGACGAATGTCTTTTTTTTTTTTTTACACTCACTCACTAGTATCGCCAATTGATTTTAATGAATTATTGATTATTGAGAATGTTTAGCTTGCATTATATGTTTTCTCATGAGCAGCATCAAGACTGCTGAGCTGGAGCTTTTTTGTTTGTGTTTTGCAGAAACCAGATACAGCTTATTTGTAAATTTGCTCCAGCCAAGAACAAAGTGAAAACATGCACTCACAAAACGAGGAGGCAGTTGTTTCTTTATTCACTGCAGCAGACAAAATCTAACAACTTCTCCTCAGAGGCTTCTTGAACAGTTGGAGCTATTAATTTAATTTTTCATTTCATTGTATTGCCAGGTGCTATGTCTGGAGGATTCAACTTCCAAGTCAATGATGGTGTGAACTTCACTCCCAGGCAGATCTTCAGTATCACTGCCAGAGCCTTAGTTCTCATTTTAGAGAAAAACCGTCCACTCAAGGTGTTTCCAGGTAAATCGCCTTCTGTGTAGAGCAGAAATCAGTATGATTTGTCTTGTATAGGCTTTTGTCATGATGTAACTACACAGCTGCTTCCTAAAAGTGAACTGCAACAGTGTATTTTTGCCTATCAGTCATCTACTCACACAGACTCTTTTTAGTTGTACTATTAATATCCATATGCAATTTCCTCTTTGGTGATTCTTTTGTATATGGGTTTGTGACACCCTGTCCTCTCTCCCATTTGTTGTATTTTGTACGATTCAACCTGCAGTATGTTCAGCCTGACTACAGTCTCTTCCCACAGTCTCTTCGGTTAAATAATGCAGCACCTTTCCAACAGCCAAGTCATTACTTTACCCAAATACCAGACTGGTGAATCAGCTGCTGTCACTGCTTAAGTTTTTGATATACACTATGCTACTTTTGATACTCGGGGGCTAAAAATAGGCTGACAGGATGTCATCTGTGTCTGAAAACACATTTATTTCTCTTCTTTTCTGAGATTTCCAGTGGTCTGGTTTGTGAGTTAGATGGAAAGGATATTGTGAGGGCAGCAAACTGCCAACTGGCACGCTCTGCTGAGCTTCCCAGCCACAGGGTGAGTGGGTACTTGAAAAGCTGTGGCACTGTCTGTCTGAGGCAGCCCTGTTTGTGCTTTGTGCCAGGCGGGGCAGCAGGAGGGGGATG